GAATAAAGAAAAAGTCAATACGATCTGGTTAAAATTATGAACAATAAAAATAAGGGCGTGAGGAACAAAGCCTCCCTCGTTAAAGTGTAAAATGTAGTATAATATAATTAAGTGCAGTTGGTTTCCCAAATCCTTTGTTAATTTACTGAGAACTGAAAAAACAAACAAATTTTACCTGACCGTTTTACATTGGTAACAAATTACAATTATACTGCATCAACTTTATTCGTCTTTAATTGTGTTGTATCTATAAAATAAATTCCATCGAGAGCTGAATGCAAATAAAAATGAAATTGTAAAAATATAAATAACATATTGTGTTTATTATAATTGTTTCTTAGCTGGCAATGGTCGAGAACTAATGGTTTATCTTGATGAACAAAAGTACCTCCTCGAGAGCTTCGTGTCCCGCATGGATGGCGTATTAGCAGCTTTCGACATAAACGAACATCCGCTTGCAATTCTGATGGTTTTAAATGTTGACGCTTCGACTCAGCCAACTAGTGTACCAGTTGACTTGCACTTCGTGACAGTTGCATCACGAATAAATCATTTTGTTTCTGTTGTCAGAGCTGATGTATTTCATTCCTGCTCCAAAACATGTAAGTATTTTTAGCGCTGTCAAAGTTGTTAGTCAAAACTAATTTGTTTTTTTTTTTAGTGGCCAGCGTAGTGCAAGCTCTGTTAAGAAATCTACACAAAGTGAAAAAAACAATGATGATGATACCTACTATTCAACGCGCCATTGATAAACTGCAGACAAAACCTCACCAATTGACTCATTTCCATTACTTGCTATGTGAAGCATGCATAATGTCTTATAATCTTAAGGCTTCGCTGAAAGTCTTAGATCAGGAAGTTTATTTTTTAAACTCCGATGAAGTAAGTCGCCTGGTTTTGGGAACGGAAATCGCTAGTTATTAAGGGGCAAAGGATAGGCAAGATATATGACAAAAAATCTAATAGCTATTTAAAGTACGCTTACTAATTTTTACTTGAAAAATTACTAAATATTTCTTGTTATAGAACTTTTAAAATTGTTTTTCTTTAAGTTATGGCAAAAGTATGATACAATGAAGTAATTTTCTAGCGTATCATTTATAATTGGATGGATTAATTTTTTTATTGTTCCTAAGACCTAAAAAAAACTTGTCAATTTTTTTTCCATTTCAACCTTTAGTATTAACATTGTTCGAAAATGATGAGTAGACAGTGCCGTAACAAGGGGTAGGCGAGAAGGGCAGTCGACCAAGATTACCCCTTTTTGGAAGGGAGCAGAGTCAAAGTCACACATTTCTTTTTTTTTTTAAATTTATAAATACATTTTTTTTTTAATGTATATTATATAGGTATTATATCTAAATAATATATTTAGATATGTAAAACGGAAATATACAAAAGATATTTTATTAGAGGAAGCCGAGATTGTTAATTGAATAAATACTAATTCGGAAAGTTATATCAGAAGACAAACTCAATTAAAGGAGGATACAAAAACATGAAAAGTTGATGATGGTTCTTCAGTGATAGAAGAAGACAAAGTATTGAAAAAATGGTAATAGTATTTTGGATTGTTGCTTAATGGCGAAAACCCAGTTGAGACATTTGCATGGACGCCAACAGAACCTGATGACATAGACAGTCCACCCCCAAGCAAAGAGAAAATATTACAACAAAAGGCTAAAAAACCATTAAAGTCCTGGGAAGGACGGAATTCAGAGTGCACTGAGAAAAGTTGAAGAACTGGCACAAGGATATTCGAGAGGAGAGTGCTAAAGAATAGATATGGCCCAAGCTTTGATATTTAAACCAACAAATGGAGAAAACTGCATAATTATGAACTCCAAATGCATTTTCAAAAGCCTGATATAGTTGAAGAGATCACAAAAAAAAGACTAATGTGGGCGCATGGCATAAGCAAGGATCCTTAGTTAGACAGGTATTAGAAGAAGATCCTATAGGCAGGCCAAGATAAAGATGGGAAGACTGTGTGAAGAAGGACATCAAAACGTTACGATAACGGTGGTTGTGACTTCCAGATACTTTCTGCGTTCACTGACAACATTTATTTAAATATAATTCACTATTATAAATTGGATTGAACTCAGATACGTTAAATAAAAGAAAAGTGTTATAATATCATGTCGATTACTTATATATTTTAGAATTTTCCGTTTTATACTATATCAATTCAATTATTTTTGTTTACCTAAAAAAAGAAGAAGTATTTTTTTGCCAAGGAAGGTAAAATTTTTTGTTACGACACTGTGTACAACCTGTGGGAATGTATTTTGTTTGTTAATGTGTTCTGTATATTAATATTATGTTTTTTTTGTCCTACAGCCTAAAATTATATTTGAACCGAAATACTATTTGAACTACTACTTTTCGGGCGGCCTCATATACACAGCGATGAAAAACTTTGACAGAGCAATTACTTTTTTCGAAATTGTTTTCATGACAACATTTCCTGTAATTTCGCCAATCACGATTGATTCCTATAAGAAATTCATTTTACTTGTCCTCATACACTTTGGATCGGTACCAACAAACTGTAACTTTGATCCCACAATCCTCGATGAATTGTATGGACCAACGTGTCAACCGTACTTAGATTTGGTACCACTTTATCAAAGTGGAAATTTAAGAGCAGTCCACGCGACAATTGCTAAACACCAAGATATTTATGTAAGGTAAATTATCATATAATTACATTAACATCTGGTATCTATTTGGACTGTTTTGCTTAATATTTGAATGTTTATTATGGTTCACGATCAATTTTTTTTTTTGAAGGGATAAAAATTTTGGATTGGTGAAACAACTTGTGAAATCTTTGAACCAGGCCAACTTGCTACGACTGGCCAACTTGTTCTCGACCATGACCCTAGCCGAATTGGCCGAACAACTCAACGTTAAAACGGCAGAAGATGCGGTAAACTATCTCTTGACAATGGTAAATTTGAGATCGTCCACCCATACTGCTGTAGTTTTACGCTAAAGTATAATATAAAATTTTTTTTTTAGAGAAAATCAAACGTGCTACACTACAAAATCGATGGAAAAAAAGGTATCGCTACTTCCAACATCAACGTTGATTATAGTTATGAACACCCAGACGTTCTTATCGGTATCATAAAAGAAGTAAATATGGATAATAATTTATCGAACTGTCTACTACTATCTGTTCACTTGTCAATTTTATATTCAATATGTATATTTATTTTAGATTGAGCATAAAATCGAAGTATCTAAAATATTGCAATCAGCCGGAGAAAAATTCAAGACTTATATTCCGCAAGCGCCAATTGTACAATCCCAGGCTGGGCCTAGCGGTGTGCTATTTAACCAGCGACAATTACCGCCAAGGGCAAGCAACATTGATATTTTTGCGACATCATTGCTTTTGGAACGTGAACTGGGAATAATCGAAGAAATGTCTGATAGCGACTAACTTTGAATTCTTGTAAGTTAGTAAGAGTGTAAGTTAGTAAAATTGAAGTATAGCTTCATATAAATAACATTATTGATAACATTGTTTAACAATAAAACCATTTTAGAAATTAAGAGGTAAAACCAGCGGTGGTAAAAGTGTCTGTAGTCAGTAGTGTTGAATGATAATAATTCTAACCTGACTGTAAAAACACATTGAGAATAGAATTTTCGTTCTCTTGTAAAATTGTACATGTATAAGTCAATTGTACCCGTTTGATTACCACCGCTTTAAGTCATAAAAAACTTCTAGTCGCGTTTACGCAATTACTTATTATAAAAATACATAATGTTAAGTTTTATTTACACAATACATTTTTCTAACAATTAAATGTGTAGGAAACCTTAGCGTTACATAACTTAAATAACGATTTTTTTTTTAAATCAATTTTATTTAATGTAAAAATTAAATTCGTATTTAAAGTACTTTTATTTACTGTATCAAATAATATAGTTTTGTTAATAATATTTTATTTGACTACTTCATTAATAATCTGTTGTTTTCAGTTCAAATTTATTTAATTTATTTGATATTTAAATGTGTGCCAAAATGTATTTGAAATTATTATTTGGACATTTGTGTTAATAAAATTAATATTGTATTTAAATAATGCCTATGTCTTTACGCAATATGTAGCGATATTAATTTAATTTAAGCTATTTATATACAAAATCTGTTTTTTTTTTATAATTAAGTATACATAGGAGTGAAAATAAATATTAGTTAAATATATATATATCAAAGAAACAAATAATTTTTTCTGTTCATATAAGTTTATTTAACACTGGTTAGAATTTTTCTTTTCAAATTCATAATTATTGCTTAAATTTTGAGATGTATTACAATATCAGTAAATGCAACAGTTCTTTACAAGTTTCAAACAATTTTACAAATGAGTACTTAAAATGTAAACTTAACATGTAGTATGCAATCCATGATGTAAAATGATTTTTTTAAAGTAAATTAAACAATACGAAATTTAAACAATAAATAACAAAGCATAATTTATAAGTGTTATTAATTTTATGTACAATGTATTGTTATAAAAATGTCAAATCAAATAAGTAAAACATATGTTATCTGTATAAGGAGTTAATGTTTAAAAACTATAAAAACTGGCATAAAAGTTTAACTATAAATTGTATTATAATATATGAAAATAATAAAACACGTTTAATTTAGTATTAAAATTAAAGTTGAGAATAATTTTAATTTTGTTTTTTCATGATATAAAATCTAAAATAAGATTAACATGTTTATACTTCATTTAGTTAGGAAAACAGTTAAAACATTATATGAATACAAAATTTAATTTCAATTAGTAGTATTGTTAATTAGTATTAACATAGTAAAATAAATGTTGCTCTTATATATTTTAGCGTAAGTTTTTTATTATAAGTCATTAAAATTGTTTAAAATTTAAAACAGAATATACAAAGAATGTAAAATAAGATAATACTATTTATATTATAACATATAAAAGTTAATCAGTCATTATATAATATAACAAAACAAATAATAATATCTTTTTTGTGTAGTTTCAATAAACTTCATAGGAAGTCAACGACATATTTAATATAATAATCACCTTGTGATGTCAAATTATATGATAATTTGTTCAACACAAACACACACAACTCGTTTGAATCAAAGTAAAATGTATCAATATTTTGTACTAAACTATTAAATGAATCGTAGAAACGTGGAAATTTGTCGTGCTCTACATACTCAAACGGTCTCATGTATCTTCTGAAGTCGCAAGTAAATTTTAAAGCTGTTTTTTGGTCAACTTTATGAACGGCGTGAAAAACAGTTTCCTAAAATAATAATACATATAATGAAGTAATGCTATTATGTATTTATGTGTGTTAAAAAAATCAGTTATTCTGGTAAATCAATAAAATAGAAAATCATCATAAAGCAGTGGCTCTGCATATAATTTAAGGCTCAGTCTAATAACAAAAACATGAAATTCAAAAGAATCAGTAAACGTTTTCGTTCAATGAAAATGTAATATTATGTCCCATGAAGTGAATTTTATTTAATATTTAAAATTAGTTGTTGTTTAAATTTCAACTATCAACTAATGAAAACTATTACATAATGACCTAATGATGCTTGTAGAAAAATTGGTTTACCTACCTCGTAGTTTACATGAAGCAATTGTTTTCGTAGTAAGTATCGGCCGTATTGGTATGGGTTTTGTACTCTTTGTATGGATTTAATGTGAAAATGGCCATAGAAAAGTGATTCTATGTATTTGTATTCAGAATTGTTTTTGTTCAACGGGAACAGTATACAGTTGGTCGTGTACCTATCGATTGGCAAAAGTTCCCATTCGGCCGGTTGGTTATCGAGCACATCCTGAATTATGGACTCACCGCAATCGCCGTTAACATCCATTCCTAGACGATGAAAAACAAAAAACCATGTAATGCATATTATAATTGTTTCATTATCAGTAACGACACAACACAAATTAAGATTGGGTACCTGATTAATATTCGGTGTATTTTGTATAATAATAGATTGTTCTCAAGCCAACAGTGTAATATTTTTAACAGCTACACGCAGCACGAATTTGTATCGAACTTGAAACTTGTAAGTTGCAAGAGAAATTTTTAATAACGATTTTAATTTTCAGCCAACGACAAAAGAATATTATGTAGTACACCACAGAATACGTTGAATACAAGTCAACTGTCAATGTGCCATAGTAGGCAGTAGCCCATAATAAAACATGTGAATTCAAACGTACGGTTTGTTATCACTAAAGTCCGGATTTATATGTTTTTACATATTGTTACTGAGTATATGCAGTCTTATGAGGGTAAAAAATGTGGACGATTCATTCATCACAGAGTTCACAGGAAAAAGTTTTTTTTGCATATTTGAGAATATTTCATGGTTTAGGGAATATTTAGGTTATTTAGCATATTTTGGAATATTTTGCAAATTGTGAGAAAAACATAATAATTTATTTTAATTTTAAAATTATTATAATTAATATTTTCATAAAAAAATACACACAGTGATGGTACTATTAAGTCGCCGCGTCGTGCCGTGCTGTTTACCAAATATGGTGGCTAACCTGCAATACTGCATCGTTTTCATGCTGATAAGAACAACAAAAATTTACAAAATGACCAATAACCTGGTGAAAAGGGTAACATTATAAAAACCAAAGTGACTCAATTATGTGAAAAAAATAAAGGCTACCAAATGTTAGAAAAAGTTGGAAACATTTTATCTGGAAACAATGAAAATCTCCCAGAACATTTCACCCCTAGTGTAGTTGCTGATATGAAGTTTGCTCCTTTAACATCAGTTGATGTTGAACGTTCATTTAGCCTCTACAAACACATTTTAAGCGATAGAAGAACTAACATGAGCCCAGAGAATATCGAGAAATACATAATTATTAACTCATATAATACAATTTAAATAAGTAGTAAGTAATTTAAATTGTACTTCAATTTAATTCAAGTCAGAATTAAATTTAGAAGAATATTTAGTAAATATTAATTTACTGCCATAATCATCATACCATGGAAATATATATATCATACCAGGAATATTGTTTTTTTTTTTTTTAATATATATTGTTATTTTATATTCAATAAAGGAAATATTGATTTTAATTCATTATTTTTGTTTATTTTTCTAATTTTTAAGAGAATATATGGAGAATATTTGTAGGTTTTTTAGAGAATATTAGAATCATATTTTAGGTGTTTTAAGAGAATATTTATCCGGACCTTAGTTATCACTAATACCTATTCTTCTTTGATAATAAATTAACATAGTCTTGGTGACTTTCCCGCTTTATTCTAGATGGTTTTCAATGATTTCTTCTTGTTTTTATTATTCCAATCATAGCTGCGCAAATTGCTAAAAAAATAATACAAATTATTTTCATTCGTTAATTAGTAATTATTGGCTTATAATTACCTAATTATAAGCCATTATAAAAATATTATACATTTTTAAAATACAAATTTAACCTTTCAATGCCTAATTTTTTCTACGTTTTTTAATAGGTATACAATTCTTGTACATAGACTATGTATGCTCGTATGGCTCAAGATGTGACTGTGTATAAAAAAAAAATAGCCAATATTGGTTCAGGTTTACTCAAATTTGACAATGACTAAAATTAAAAAATATATAATACAATATCCACTAATATACCTAGTGAACCTATAGCTCATTAAAATATAGCCTATAGCTAATTAGATTTGAACCTTAAATTGTTATGTTTTTTCATTATATTAAGATGCCTCTGCTCTAGTATTTTTTTAAGGCGCATTGTATAGGCAATTTTTTACTAAAACTTACACGAAAAGCAAAAATGTTTTAACATAATATATATTAACACAGGTAAGAGGGATCTACATTGGCATTTATTTACTTTTATAACGCATTGAGACTCTATTTTTTGTAAAAAAATACATGTTTCTACTTTGAACAAAAAATATGGGCAATATGTTATACTTTTTTTTTAAAACATTTTGTTATATTTTGAACAGAAATTCAATGTCTTACAATTATTATTTTTGGTTACGAAATGTTGTTAACATATTTTATATTTTATATAAAATTTAACATATTTTTCTTATTGCCTATTTTAATAATATTTAAAAAATATTTGTAAGACACTTGATTTGTGTGCAAAAAAATAAGATTATAAATTATTTTATTCAATGATATAAAAAATAATATTGTTAAACTTTAAAATATAATTTTAGCCAATTAGAATAGTTAAATTGTTCACATTTACTTAGTGGTGTTTAAGGCATCAGCTATGACATCCGCCATGAGTTTATAACTGACCAATATAATAATGAATAACCATTGGAGAACACATATTTTGTAAATTTAGAAGTTGTGCTAGTGTAATGATGATAAATAATTAAACACATTAAAAAAAAAAACTCACTGTCGTTCTAATAGTTCAAGTTTTAGTTATTTTAATTGATTTTTGTCAAGATATTGCCTACCCTTCAAGCCTAACAAATAACTAGTAAGTTGGCTCGGTGTGCTTTCCATAAAGAAAAGATATTCTAATAATAAAACCTGGTTTTAGTTTATTTTCAAGGCGTATCCGTGTTCCATAATAATATTAACTAATTTAGAAATATTACAAATCAATAAGAGTGAGTATAATTAACCTTGATATTATTTATTTAATTTTTCAAAATGTTTTCAACAGGCAAAAAAAACCCAGTGTTGCTAATACCTGTTTAAATGATTTGTTATTAAAAAAAATCATCGATATATATATGTTATTTTGTGGTTTTGGCACAAAAGAATGCATTTTTTTTTTTGGTTATATAAATTATATAAAATAACAAACTTGTTTTCGAGAAGTATAAGTAACGCCACGGATAGATTATAGATAACATTACACATATTATATTCAACTAGGTACTAAAATTAAATATACCTACTCCAACTTAATTTTTTGTTTTGAATTTTAGGATAGGGAGGGGGATATTATGTATTTTTATTAACTAGCTTGCGAGTATACATAAATTGATTTATGTATAATTTTATTAATTTTTTTTCTTTCTTTACAATAACACAACACGTGATTAGATAAAATAATATAATATAATAAAAATGTACATTCTATGTATATAATAGCCGTATATAATTAATTCAAGTAACCATATAACTTCGTTTCTATTTACATATAAGGATAAAAGAAAAAAAAAAAAGAAAAAATACAGTTCATCAAATTAAAAACAAAATGGGTGAAACATAGAACATAAAAGTGATGCGACGGCTAACACGCATATAATAATAGTCATAATAGTCATAATAATAATAATAATAATAATAATAATAGTAATATAATTAATTAATTTCTGAATACAACTACCCTGTGCGATCAGTCTTAATGGTGAATATTTTTTTTTTTTTATACCGTGTGCTGTATCCGGACGAATATGCCAACAGATGAGGAGATATCAACTAATCATTGGCGTCATAACCTTATTGCAAAAATCTACACAATCCCTTCATCCGAATTTAACCTACCATCAGGCCAAAACAAATCGGTTAGCCGGCAAAAAGCTGCAACTGAATTTTTACAAATCATCAAAATACCCAATTATTATCATCGTACCTACACTGCAGTTGTGTGTATATTATAATATTAAAGTGTGTTGTGATGTAAAAGCGAAATCGCACAACAATGGCGGTCTGAAGAGCTAGGCGAGGGAGGATAATTATTCGAAAATTGCATCTATTTCAAACCGCCCTGGCTATACACAATGTGTCATATAGGTGGAAACGATATTAGGTATACTATTATACATTTATAAGTGATGTTATATTATAGTGTGCGTTGCTGGCGAAACGAATTACAGAATATTGTGTATTAATATTATATGCGTAGCGCGGACAACATATAACATAGCATATTATTACATAAAAATACAAGTATACACATAATACAAAAATATAATAATATTATACTTAACAATAACAATATAGCGCGGTGAATATTGTTATTATAACAACGATAGATAATGGTGGAAAAACGAAAACCAGTAATTTTTCTTTTTCTTAACTGAAAAAAAAAATATATCGCGAGTCGGGTAGATTTTTCATTATTGGATAGGTATTATAATAATAATAATTATTATTATTTTTATTTTGTTTTTTTGTTTTTAGACTAGACAAAACGCGTTCGCTGAGGCAGATTTTTCCGCTGAACGCCACCCTCCCCTTCAAATGCGACGGCCTCCGGGCTGAGTGTTGTTGTTGTTGTTGTTGTTGTGGCTGTCGGTGTCCAACGCGGTGTACATCGGTGGCGGCGACGCGGGCTGTTCGTAGTGGCAGTTGACGGGCGCGATCAGGCTGTGCTTGGTCAGGTCGATGCGGTTGGCGGCGTTGGCGTTGGCGTTGGCCGCGTTCTTCTCGGCCGGCGCGACGCCGGCGAACACGTACGTGGTGGGCCGGTAAACGTCGGTCGGACGCATTTTCGACTGCAGCAGACACTTGTGGTAACCGTTGGCGGACGTCCGGTGCAGGTCGTCCTGTCCGGCTGCGCCGCCGCCGTTGGGCAGTATCGTGAAACCGTAGTTCATCTTGTTGGGCCTGTCGAGAGGAAGAAAATAGGCCCATCGTTAGAATATGACTATTTTGAAATTTTTTAATATCATACACAACTTTTCTATATAAATTAAATTATCTCTCTTTGTAATAGGTTGACTCGTAGGTCACATTTTGGTCTATTGCTTTCAGGTTTTCGACATGGGTCTTTTTGCCCCTGGAATTGTTTTTACTATTAATAAAAAACCTATTTATTAATCACTATATAGCGGCTGAAAGGAGCCGATGACCGGATTCTTTGGGATAACAGTGGATAGTACTGCGAAGAAGTAGCTATCGGTGAATTCCAGTCGGTTTGACCGAGACCAACGGATTTCAACACATCATAATACGCACACAACAAGCTGTTAATGCTCACATGTTGTTTACATGTCGACGGAATAACCGGGAAAACATGATGCACGGTACATCTATAGCGGTAAACCGGCGGACAGAATAACATAATAAATTAATCAACGACTATCGACGAACGGGGATAATCCTTAAGCCTTTCCCCGTTACACACACATACTACATGTACACAACCATACATTATACACAAACCAATGGTCCACAGTGGAGCAGCGAATATCGGTTATTAATAGTCTCTCTGGACCGTCGCTGTCCTGTTTAAGGAGTAACACCATTCATTTCACCCGGCCACATGTCTGAACCCCCCGCGCATATGTGGTTTTTATACTCGAGAATAGATTTTCCATTTGTATTTATAACATAAAATATTATATATTAGCCTGTTTTTTTTTTTTTACTTCAATCGATAGTAGCCAATTCAAATGAGAAATCCGTCAAGTTTCAGATCTCTAGCTCAACTCCAAGTGCCTCTATCTACTTCCTCGTGAATTTATTTTTGCGTTTGATATCTTATTTCGAATAAGCTACTATCGATTGGGGCCGTGACCACCGCTGAATCGTTGTTTACCTTATTTTAGACACTAGCGATCCGTCGTCCAAGGAATTGCTGGACTTGAGAAGCTTGAAGGCGATAAAGATGAGAAGCAACAGGGCCACGGCACCGCATATGGGCACGAACAGCGTCATCGTCTCGAACCATTCCATTTCGGTGTTGGACAAAACGGACGTGTTGCGTCTCAGCCAGACGGTCCTGGTGTCGTTGATCGGATCTGTAACAAAACACACACACGGCGGTAAGTCCAAAGTCAAAAAACCGCAGCTATTGTGGCGAGGATTATTCAAAATTGATTCAGCCAAGGATCGACAACCCTGGTATAGTTTAGACACACACAATCAACCTGACCTGAACGAGCAACGGCGGCATTTATCATACACACATCATGCGAAAAAGCTTGGGTGTTTGTGAACGTTTGCAGATTATTATCAGTGTAGCATAGCTTTTTACACACTTAAAACAAATAGCTTAGTCGTCGTCGGGAATAAGTCACACTTATGGCATAACACATACAATGTCGGCAACATTATAGGTATTATGTTATAGAGACAACATCGTTTGGGCGTGGCATATTATAGTGGACTGTCCGACAACATCATGACCGATGGACAACAATAGCTGTTTGCCTATTATGATAATTATTATAGTAATTAATGGGTTTTTTGTGAGTTGTTTGGACTATAGATGAGAATATCCTTGGAACATCAATGTCATGTAGTCGCGTTCAAACTGCGGTAATGACCCGAAACGGTTTCGGCTGGCGCCTAGCACAAATTACGGGTAAAAATAAACTCATTATGCAATAATATATATTAAGTCCGTAAAAAAGGTCCATAAAACCGTCAAACGAGTGTCGAGAGCGTGCCCAATATCTCTCATAATATACATTATAAAATATATTCTACAATATGTTATAAATAATTACAGTACAATAGTTCACCGTAGTTAATGATATGACATTTAATATCGGAAAGTAAATCATTTTTTTTTTTTGTGAAATAAAAAAAAAAATTACCAATTTTTACAGTGCGCGGTTAAGCATAATATATTTTCAACTGTGTCAAGACAATACGAAACATGAATGTTTGTTAAACAAAACAAGCTTCTTAAATATTCTGTCGAGTTGTAATTAATTAGTTACAAGCAAAATGCATTAACCCAAGAATTTAATATCTATGACGGTCTACATGTTCTATAAAAGCTTGGCTTGTGTCTTGCGTTTTTGTCTTCATTATTAGTTTTTAGGGAAACTTTTTAAAAATATTAATTAATCATTTTATTTTTAAATATGCTTTGCAAGAACCATTTAGATATGTCTTGTACGCGATAATTAAAATAAATTAGGAATGGTTATGGCAGAATTGGCAAATACGGCCGTCTTAAGAAAAGTGTCAATTCGCGGTAAAAAAATATTATCAATAATATATTACAACGGATTACATAATAATTTTCAGATGGAATTTGTGATTAATCGGCGCCGGCGGTGGCGCCCGGTTTTCTTATCTGACGTTTGTGTTTTTGGTGTGTTTTTACTCTACTCCACATTCCACTGGGCAAATGATAGCTTGCATACATATTATATGTATACAGGCTACAACTTGTAAGACGTATTATCAACACACTTAGCCCGCACATTAACGCGCGTTATAACGTCTCAGACTAGAGACAAATTATAAATTAATTCATTTTCTACATGTATTATGAAAAAAAAAATGTACGTATAAATATTAATAAAAACTATATATTATGTATACATAATATATGTATACATTTCTAACAAAAAAAAACCGTCCGAGAGATAACGAAAGAGCGTTTTTTTCGAGAAAAACAAAAACTGGTCCTCCGGAGATAAGAGAGAGGAGAATAAGAAACACGGTATGTGTTGATGTTCTTGTAAAAGCGCCACCGCCGCCGCCTTGTGGTCATAGAGCTCAGCTAATGGTTTTTGCCTGGCAAGGAACCAGAAAAAAAAAAACCGTATAATACAACAAGTTGGTGTATAATACGATGCTTGCATGTGTATAATACATATAGAGGGTCATCGTGACGTTTCTTCAGCACTGTCTCTCTATCTCTGTTTCCACTGCACACACCACATCACTCTTGGGCCGCCCGTTAACTGGTTTTAAAAGGTATCCTACTCTTTATCTGTTTACATTTCCAACATAATTAACTTATTTTTTTTCCCTTCTTCGCCGTCGTCGACTAATGGATTTTTCTAGTACACACAATCAAACACACGGCGGCGGCACATTGCACCGAAGGGCGGCGGATATTATTTCCAGATTCCACACCGAAAACTACATCTGATGGCGGCCTCGTTTTTTTAATTTTATTTTTAAAACAATAAAAAGCAAAAGCCATAAAAAAAAATTACAACAACAACAAAGAATGATGATAGAATTAATATACCGGACCGGCGCGACCGAGTTAATGCAACGGAGGTACTTAATAGCCACCACTATCGCCGCCGTTCCCATGCTAGTCTAGTATGTGTATGTGTGTGTTAAGTACAAACTAATGTACACGAGATATTATACGGCGGCGATGGCACGTGTAATGGGATAAAAGCGATTTCGTTCGTGTATTATACAGGGAAAATATTTACATCTCCTGAGGAAAATAACCTCAAGTCAAGTACACGGTGTCGGAGGAGTAGGTAGTAATTAACCGAGGTTGCATGCCAAAATGCCACTAGAATTCCCCTAAACAGTCGAGCCTTTAGTGGTGGCAAAAGTAATGCCTATTATTATAATATCAACTCACCGGTGCTGCCGCTTTCTTCCTTCAAGGTCGCCGGCAAAGAGAAGTATTTGTTCGTGCCCAGACTCATGGCGATGTTGTCGTTGCACATGTCCTGAGTGCAACAGTGGTACGGATCAACGTCGGGACCAGTTTTCAAAATATCATCGCAGCTCTTGTTTCTGAAACAGCAAAAACACAATATCCACGCGATGAGTGAATGCGATTTGGATTTCGGCGGACGCGACGTGTGCGGGTAATTATTATCACGCCGGCACGGTTGAAATGAAATAATATAAAAATATATACACAAGAGATAGAGAGAGAGAGAGAAATAAATTGAAATCCATTTGCTCGACCAATGCGTTTGTGTGTCGAATGCACTAGGCGCCGGGCAACCGCTACGATTATTAACGCACAATGCACCCGCTAGTCTGAGAACACACGGTTGTGGCGGGCTTCATTATTATTACATAACAATAATAATTGGCCGGGCTGTTAAAAGAACTACCGGCGCAAATCACGAAGAAATAATAATATAGTTCGGCCGCCACATAAGGGGGAAAAAAAATTACAGGTAACCTTGGAGACGTTTCTCTTGAACAACGCCACGTCTAGGAAGAATTTCCTAGTCATGTAGTAGTCATTCCGAGAACTTACCGCTTTTCCCAAATCTTCTAATGCGAAAATTGCATGTTTATCATTTGCATTGGCTTTCTGTAGTCATACTACCAGCTATATTGTACACTTATCTATCTCGCTTTTATCATTTTATACTCACAGCGGTAGTAAGTCCAGGCATCCGTAAATGCCTTTGAGCACGTACAGCCCTATTTCGGACCGTTCAAGTTCGGAAAAGCACCCGGCTCCCGACGATTTGCACATGTAACCGTTGATGATACACTCTGATAGATTACAATAGCACCTCAGCTCTTCTGTGCCTGCAAAGCAAAAACGAGAAAAAACAATTAGTTTTTTAATAAAAGAATGTGTTTTTATGTTAATTCTAAGCAATTAAAATATAATATAATGTATTAATGATTAACGACCGCAGTAGAACCCACCCAGACCGTGTGGGGTATCCGGTTTGTATAGAATTTTTAATCATTAAATAATGGTAAGCTGGGTTCACCATAATATTAGGTAAATCGTATTTGTGTTAGACGCCAGGGCATATATTTTAACCTAATTAAACAACAACACGTTAGTCGTTATATAATAACGTTCGGTAAAAATTGGTAGAGACTAGTTCTAAAAGAGGTGCAAATATAAATCGGCGACCTAGTCTCTTAAAAACTCACCGGAGTCATACTGTTACATGCATACATGTACAGTGCAGTAGGTGCATAATATTGTCTACTAAAAATGGCGAGGAATAAATTATTTTTAAAACGGTTAATGATAATAAACTTATTTACAGTGCACACGTTGTTCTAGGCACTGCTTTTATATTATCTAGGTAATATTATATCATTGAACGAAAATCGACAATAATTATTTAGTCCTTGTTAAAAATATGTATTACCCGCGGGTACTTGCGGTATACCATTCAGTGGAGTCGCATACGAAAGCGCCATTAAAAGTGATCTGCCGCCGCCGATTGAACAAACACAGGCGCTCGTTCGGGAGAGAGCAAAATGATTTATTACCACCCGATAGTTGGGTATAAAAAAAATATATATAATAACAGAAAGTAGTATGGTAAAAAAGACAGAAACCACAGCCGTATAGCCGTATCCGTTGGTAGTTTTTTTTATGTATATATATATAATATATAAATACAACAACAACACAGTAGGTATAAGTGCTTCGAGGACGGCTATTATTTAAATGCGGCTTGTACTCGCGTCGTCGACGACCATCAGAATAATTATTCATGATGATAATATTATTATTATTTATCTATAAAGTAAATAACATTGTCCGGCTATTGTAGGATATTAATATACACGGTAGGTATACACCGGCTACGGCTTATTACCGTTTATAAAATTATTATAATATACGCTACATTGAAGCCGCGAATTCGTTGGTATAGGTAGGCACATCATAATAATAACATTATAATATTATTATCTACTGCTAATAACGTTCTCTATCGTCGCCCGTGTATTATGCGTACCCCGGGCGATGGCCATCGTAATCGCCTACTTATAGCCGGTACAAACGACAGAGTATTATTAGGTACTATTATATTATAATTTCTTACTACTATTTTCACAGCTACTGAACATCACATCATATCCGAGGCAATAGCTAAAAGTAATAATAATAAGATACCGTTTCCCAAAGGTCAGATTTCGAATGCGATGACATAACGTTTCCGGGGGGGGGGGGGGTAGTTTTCTATAGGCGGGGTTGAAAAATGCTTTCAAATAAACCAGCTATAAAATAGAAATGATTATACCAAGAAAATGTGTAGATTCGCTAAAATTGAAGTCAAGAAGAGTGGGGATAGACTAGGGCAGGCCTTAGTAAACTATAATAAGGAGATAAAATTAAAAAAAACAGGAATAACAATATAATTATTTATGTTGCGTCCGCTACTATTACAGCGTGCAGGTTTTTAAATGTGAACATTATTAGAGTAAAAGTTAATCATGGATGATTTTTAAATGTGCATTAATAAAAAAAAAGTCCATCGTTGAAAAATAATTTCATTTTTACTCGAAAATGTATACGATATTAATGTTCAATGTGGCAGATTGAATAACATTAATCATAGACATTACATTTTTAATACATAATAATATATAACATACATTAATTTTTAAAGGTGTACTTCAATTTTTTTCAATTTACCTACATTTACAGTAAATAAAAACATTTAAATAATTAATACTAATATCCAATTCCATAAACTGAAGGGAAATCATCATGTGACCCCTCATTGGTTTTCAAAAAACACCTATTACTATTAAAATATATATATTTTTTTAATTTTTAGTTTGATATTTTTACATTTAGTAAAAACTGTTCAAGACTGAATTTATTCATTTATAAGACAAAAAAAAGTAATTATAAGGTCATAGCGACAACTTTCACTCGGGTTAAACCAATAAAGTTATGTAATAATTTCATCAACCATAATATTGTAACATATAATTGATTAGAATAATTAACACTACAATCAATCGTTCTGCGACATACCGTACGGTAATAATTATTATTGTACATAATATGTGCGTCCGTGACAATGACTTTGTCCTGTGCTCATCGTCAAGTGCGACTTAACCGAATGGCCTACAGGAATTTGCTGGGCTCAGGTAAAGGCTGTCGTGGAATTTTAATAGCACGAGAAAAGCAAATAATAATAATAAAAAAATTTATTATATTTTTTATATACCTACTATTCGTATTGCCGCCCTCCTTAGTCTTTATTATTTTTTTATTATTATTATATTATAATAATATAGTCAACGATTGTACGACGACGGGAAAGTGTAGGTAATAATCCAGTATACAGCATAATATACCATTACTATAATAGTATAATAATATTATGGCGCATACACACAAGATATAATGCTATATTGTGCGCGCGCTCACAATATTAATGGCCTTGCAGTCCAGACGTTCTTAACTTAGTAACGCGCACAGTAGGTACAATATTTTCCTTATGTCGGCACTATAAATTTTAATTCGTTAAAACACCGGACTAACTTTGCCGTAGAAAATAAATATTTTGATATTATATAGGTATCACAGTATTATTACTGCACTATTCTGGCCCGATGCAGTCCCAAATAGATTTGACCGAAAATCGTTTTGAAAATTTCAATGTACACTAAACCCTGTATAGTCTAAACCCCGTCTGGAAAACGACAAATTTTATGTTCAACCCGAATTAGATAACGTACATTCGATAATAATAATATATGTACATGTCATTATGATCGGGTTGAGCTGTATATCATGTTGAGGTATGTAGAGGAACCCATGCGTGCAAGTGTGTGTATATTATACATATATAGATGGAGAGAGACAGAGAGATGCAAAGAGAATTTATACGCGTTTAATGTAATATGCAAATTTCATAATAACGTTTGTCGCCATAGCACTTAGAGCGACGCGACAACAACCGTTGTACGGGGAAAACAAAAACATGATAGTTGGGCACTCTGACAGGTATATTATAATATCGACAGGTAGGTGGTACACACCAACCGAATGAAACTGTTGCATAAAAAAAACACAATGTCCTGAGAACAAGGAATAAAATAAAATAATCAACAATTTTTACAGCGCCTATTTTTACGGATAAACGACGACTACAAACTCAAATAAGTCATCAATAAAAATGTTGAAAAATTGTACTGGATTTTCGAGAGAGGTCGATTGCATTAAAATTTGTACTAAAATTGCCATTACAAAGAGCTGTTCCTCAAATTGTTACTGACCAAAATGGGTTTTACATATTTTCCACGACCTATTTGTACATATATATATATATATATATATATATATATATGAAAAAACCACCATGTTTTATTATGTGGGACGTACGCGCGTGTTCGAGAGACATTGTAATGTTATTATCATGTTGTTTTGAACAAAAAAAAAATATGTTTCTTATCCTACTCCCACAATACCTCTAAATCGCTAACAAGCCCGTTCAACAGCTATACTCGACGAGCGAATAATTACACACACGTATAAATATGGGTTATGTGCATTGTGTATGAAAATGTGTAAATTCCTATAACAACGTGCAACCTTCCCTATGTTGTTCGGGGAATGGCCAAGTTGTGGAATTTTTTGCACACCGACCGCCGCCGGCGGTTTTGCCTTTTGATTACAATAATAATAATTGTTATACTCAACAAACGTTCCTATAAATAAAGCGCTACAGTGACGTCATTAAGTATAATTGTTACAGCTCGGACAGACTGGTTGCAAATGTACTGCGCCAAAGTAATGTCACTTGTAAGACTATTTTTTTAATTTCTACTGAAACCTTTTTTTAAATTCCAGTTATTGTTGTTCAAGTTGGTGTAAACAAGCTAAAAATGTTTTTGCAACAACAGCGATTAACTCCGCGTGTAAACTGCGGTCAAAACATGAGATTTAGGGAAATAACAAATTAGGCAAACCGATATTTTAACACAATAATAAGAAATAATTATGTTTGAAACTAGTAGGTCAACCTTGTAGCATAGGACTATCGCACAACATCGGGTTTTAATGGCTTAAATAGTCTATTGACTGTTCACAATGATCACAATTCGTGATAAAATCCACACGAGCGACAACACAAAAAAAAAAAACAGTCCACTTTATGTATAAGATGTTTACACACAAAAATGTAGATAAATACTTAATAGTTGGCCCATGACTTATGAACTTAAACGAGTTTCAAAATACAGTACAACACCACTCATTGTCTCATTTCTCTCAAACTCTAAGGAAAAGAAAACAATCAGTTTCATGAAAACATTCAGTAACATTGCAACCATGTAACCATTTATGATTATAGCGTTATCTATTGACTTTATCATACATCCTAGCCCTATCAATTACAGTGTGGCCAACTTGATTTGTTCAAAATATGATTTAATTTAAGGCGTTGCATTTTGAAGCGACTTACATGCAATTATATATTTTTTTAGTTAATTCGTTTTGTAGCACAACGTTAATACAGGAATTTTAAGATTTTTTTTTTTTACACTAAAAGCAACAATGGCGAAGAGGTTGTAAGAAGTCGTCGTTTGGATTGTACGGCGAAACAGACAAACAGGATGTACAGGTAGTGCAATTATTATGTTTTTTCCCATAGTTATTGCTGCCCGTGTCTGGACATATTTTTAAGGGTGCCGGTGGTGGTTTGTAAGTGTTATTGTATACACGGGTATTATACGGTTCACGTTCACCGACGGCTGGCGCCACCGAAGACGACCCCGTCCCTTTTCCACTAAAATAGTTTCCGATTTTTGGGGATTTT